AATTTTGAGCACAGCCCACAGAATTTGAATTATGCCTCAAGTCTGAGTGGATTTTGTCTTTTTTGCCTTGACTAGATAGTGCAGTGAAGAGCAGACAGGAAGGTGGGGAAAGACATGCAGCAAAGAGCTCAGACTGGAGTTGAACCCAGGACATTACTCTAAGACTTGCAGCATATGTTCATCTGCTCCAGCTGACAGCTAAGCTATTGCACCCATGTGTTGCTGCCTTTAATTTATTTATTATAGGTTGATCCAGGCTTTGACTTCAACCTTCTTAAGCACATGATTCAAACTAATCAGTGGACAAATAAATGCAAAAGGAAGAAAAGACAATGAGACATACTGTGCAATAAGTGAAGCCAGGCAGCCATAGACAGAGGGGGTGTACATGTTTCCATTCTGGTTGGAGATTAGCAGGGATGCCTTGGTCTTCCTCTCAAACATATCTGTACTGGCCTTCATGAATGCCTTCTCCACATCCCGGTCAAAGTAGGTATCCTCTGGCTGTACATCTCTGCAACACACAATGAGTAAGAAAACTACTACAAGTGCTTTTTCCCCCTTTGTGTTTGTATAAAAGCACAAATGATGAAAATGTCTAAATATGTCTAAAACTAGCAATTACACTTGAGCTCACGACTTTAAAACAAACTATCTGGCCAGGTGCTTTACTTTGAGAGTACCTGAAGGCTTCGAGGCCTGTGAAGGGTCCGGTCTCAGTGTTTGGGGTGGGGTGGTTCAGAAAGTCATTCAGCATCAGTCTTGCCAATGACTTCTGTACCAGCTTGCAATAAGGAGAGTGGAAGACTAAAAAGCCAAAGTCCTCCAGGCTGAAGCTCTTATCTGAACCCTCTGTTAGAAAATATAATGATTAAAGACCATGTGAAAAAATTATTTACTGAATGTCGAATGGTTATCTTGTGTGTAGCTCAAGCAGTACTACCACACTAGGCTACATACGGCACAGGTGTAAATGACAGTTTGAAATGATAGATAAGAGTTTCACTCAAACCAACACTTCTCTTGAACATGTTTTTTACACATTACAATATACACATTATACATATACAACTCAAATCTTGTTGCACTTCTTCCTAGCTCAGCATAAATTCCTGCTAGTTTTTAGGGCTTGATTTAGATTCTTTGTGACTTTGGTTCAAAATCAAAACACATTGTTCAATAAAAAGAAAGGGGCAGCTAAGAGCTTTTGGCTCTTACTCCAATTTACAGACCCCATACCACAGAGCAGTTTATACCAAACCGCTGACCTTGAGAGAAAACCAAAGAAGTAATTTTTCTGGCCAAGGTGTGTGTGTATGCGTGTGTGTGTACTGGTTTTTCCTATTTGGGGGGGTCCAAAATACGAAATTTACTATTCTTTGGGACCAACAGCCCTGATGGGGACCAAAATCCATGTCCTCATGAGTTTGAAGACTCAAAATGTGGTTTTAGTGTCAAGGTTACAATTGCGTTATGGTTAAGGTTTAGGGTAAGGATTAGGCATTCATTTTTGATGGTTAGGGTTAGGGTAAGCGGCTAGGGAAAGCATAATGTCAATGAGATGTCCTCACGAGGTTAGCAAACCAGACATGTGTGTGTCTTTCTATATACTACCAACCTCGTTGCCACTGTGCATGGATTTTGTTGCGGTACACAGAGTAGCAGCGGTCCAAGGCACTCAGGTAGCACTGTATCGACAGCTTGCCATCTACAACAGGATACTCTGACACCATGTCTGGCTTATAGAAGTCATATGCATGCTGCATGTGGGTTCCCCGTAGACCTGTATATTAAAAACAAACTTCAGTCATTCCCTCATTTTACCACAAATGTCAAAAGACATATGTTCAGACACATTTTGTGCGATGCTCATTTAAAACGTTGCATGACTGAGGTCATTTCTGGATACATTTTTATCTACTAACAGATTTAACACAGTCCTACTGGTGTAGCCATTACTAGTGCTTATATCATAACTCATCTGAGCAGAAATAAACTTTTTTCCAAAAATGTATAATTTCTTTCCCAAAAGCTCTGTCTCAGAGACTGAGCATAAGAAACAAAGCTATCAATTAACTGACCTCGCTCAAAGGCCAGAGGAGCATTAGGCCCAATCAGGATGGCCACAGCACCAGCCCCCCCTGTAGGCCGGGCGCTTCCTGTGGCATAGACAGCAATGTCCCCTGCTACCACCAAAGCATAACGTCCTGCAGAGAGGAAACACAAGGAGCAGGAAATCACTAAGGCATTCTTTTTAGAAAAACAGAAGCTGCTTCAGGAACACTCAACACAGACAACACCAAAAAGACACACACATACCCCACATACTGCATATACAAGTCTATCTACATAGGTTTTCATGCATAATATAATGTTTTAACTTTATTTAAACTTTATTTATACAGGTAATCCCGCTGAGACTTAGTGTCTCATTTACAAGAGAGATATGTTTGAGACAGCATGTCACTAAACATGGGTGAAGAGATTTTTTTTTAAAAAAGCCACTGTGGCTTTTCAGAAGGCTTACATGTGTTATATTCTAGACTTTTCTTCTCAAGTTGAGAACCCAAAGTGTTCATTCAGCACTTTTGTCTAACAGTCACATGATCGCACGACGGACACATCTGAGGAAACATTGTGTGTTAGTGAGCTGGCTCACTAACACACAATGATTTGTGAAATATGAAAAACTTGTAACACTAATAAGTGAACATTCATGAAATTACATTGCTGTATGACTTGCTGGGTAATGCTGAGTAATTCTGCTTAACTGAAAGACTTTTCTTAAGTGGACTGGGATGATAACTATAGCAGTGCAATGCACTTTGGAGACTACTTAAGTTATTAAACAAAAAATGGAAACCACTCTGGAGTTCCAGCATCTCAAATGTTTACATTTTGTGGATTTCTTTGGTTTATCTAATTGTAAAATTTAACCTTTTGGGGTTTAGACAGGTCAGCTTTGACTGGAAAACATGAGATATTTCTGGTAATTTTTGATATAAACAAAAGCAGCTTAACATTAACAAAAGCTTACTCACCATCCCATGAGCTGGATTCCACCCAGTTGACAGCGTTGAAGAGTGCAGCTGTACCACCATAGCAAGCATTTGTGGTGTCAATTCCTTCCACATCTGTATTGCCAGAGTTCTCAAATAGCTGCATGAGGGCTGTCTTGACAGACTTGGACTTGTCAATGATGGTTTCAGTACCAACTTCCAGTCGACCAATGCTGTTGTAGGATAGAGCATTCTTCTCCATCAACCTCTGGACCACAGTCAGGCAGAGAGAATTTATATCCTCACGGTCTGAACAAAAGCCCATGCGAGCTTGGCCCAAGCCCACGGTGTATTTACCAGCGGGCACACCATCAAACTCCTCCAACTCAGTCTGGTCCACATATTGGGATGGGAAGTACAGTTCTAAGGCAATGATACCCACATCTTTAGGCCATGGTCCCAGGTAACTAACTGGGGCTGAGCCAGGCATCCTAAACAAGTTAGGGGACAAGAAGGGGTTTCATATTAAATATTATATTAATAACAAACAGATAACACATAAAAACAGATATGTTCTTAGTTTCCAAGCACACCAGTTTTAAAAATTTAGAGTTAATTTATACTGATAATTTGTTAAACAAAATAAGGATTTGATCATATGTTAAGTAGCTATATGCAGCAGCTCCAGTATCTACATCTGTGAGTATGCAGTTTTGGATTCATTCTCTGATGGTGAAATCTGAATCACTCTAACACAAGTTAAATCAGTAGGTTAGTAAATGGCACAATTTTAATGTTTTTATAGAAAATATGGAAAAACCCATATGTTAAGTATCACCATTCAGCCTTAAAATACTGGCATATGACCAGCCCCATTGACAGGTAAGTACTTGGTTATATCTCATTCAAATAAGTTTTATTTATATAGCACCAAATTACAGCAACATTTACCTCAACAGGCTTCAGACTAAAATACCCTACACTACACGTAATGTAGATGATGAAAAGCGATAAAACTGGTTGTATAAGGGTTGAAAATGTATAGCCAAAATAAACTAATATAACAATATTACTTATGCACAAGCATCAGCACCGAAACCTTTACAGCTGCATAATTATGGGGGTACATTTTATTTAATTACAACGACGTCGCAGAGCACGAGTCATTACAGGCTAATAATCATAAACGATAAAATCCAACTCTCAAACTGTATACTAGTTTGAGACTTATTAGAAAGTATTTAGAAAGCACAAAAAGTAATACTAGAAAAGAACAGTGTACTGATTTTAGTCTATTTACTTTTTACTGATGATCTCTTTACTAATAATCTGACAGATAACGTTAGCCGACTTGCTGCGATTACGGGTGGCATTGCTAGCAACCACGTTAGCTAAGAGAACAGCAAATTTCTATGACCTTCTTTCTTTCCTTGACTTTTACATAAATATCATCAAATGTTGACATATACTGTCACTCCACATGCATATTAAACCGGTAAGATTAGCTAGTCAAAAGGTCGGCCCAGCAGATTTTCAGAAGCAAATCTATCTGGCTTAGCTTAAAGTGGAGGACACATTTCTGGAGCTGCCCATAACTATATGCGCTTTTATACCATTCAGAATACGTACCTAAACGGCTACATAGAACTAGACGGGGACCAGATAAGTACAGTGGGCAACAAAATTGGGTGAAAGGGCAACGGCAACTGGATTTCCTGGAACTTAAGCAGTGCATGCCTGGGAGCCAAAGGATAGTCTACCACACTGAGTTAACGGGACACTTGCGTATGAAAATATGTTGTTTTCATTAAAAAAATTAAATTAAAAAAATTAAAAAGTAACTAGTTGGGTGACATTCTTATGCAGGGCACATACTTTGATAGATCACAGTACGGACTACAAGCGTTTCTTCGGACAGTTTGCTAGTCGGAAGAATAAAGCTGACGGACCAACTGAGGTGTATATATTTATATATGCACACACTGTCATAAACCTGTACTAAAGGGTCTGACTCGCCATGTCTGATTCAGTGTTAACATTCTTAGATTAACTAAAACATCTATTTATATATATGTGTGTGTGTGTGAGTGTGTGTGCTCACATAATAACGATTCTTTATTCTCATGTGAAAATCAGATTAACAGCAACGCACAATAAATTTCTCTTGTGTTTTCTTCATAACTGAACATGTGTAGCTGCAGGACATTCGTAGCGATTCTCACCTGTATGTAGTCAACTTCAGTGATGAAGGTTATTCTCTTCGGCGTTTCTTATATCCAGCTGAGCAACCTCTAGTAGTCAAGTAGAGGTGTATTTATATCAGACAGTGACGAGGCAGCGTAACCTCAGTACTACAGCACCTGGCTTCCTGTCCAATCACAGCTCACAGGCACGATGCGGCGCTATGAACCCCCGAAAGCTTCCAACCAATCGGAGAATACCAATCACAACCACGCATATTTGCTGTCCAATAGTATGACATGCATGATGTCTGGTGAGAAAAGAAAGAGCCAATCAGGTTGCACAAATAATTCCTGGCGCGGTAGTGTGTAGCACTTGTAGTACAGAGCACCATGGTTATGAAAAATTGTAGCGGTCATATAATTTCTGGTGAGTATCAATAGTTGCCAGGTGTTTTATACTGCAAAAACAATGTGAATTACAATAACATTATATACACATTACTTGTGCTAAAACTATATTAATCACTAATTAATAGGCTTCTGGACTACCTTTATATATTTTGACCTCCTAAGACCCGAACTCTTCCACGGCATACATTTTTAATTTCTCTTTGATATTTGGGCTGATTGGGACCTGATGAATGTAAAAACAAAGAATTACCAGATTTTTTTATTTTATTTTTTACCTAATTTTTGTATATAAGAAAAAGGAGAGCCACATATGAGGATATTCGTTTAAAATTTTGATAGAAGAGTAGCAGTATAATGTCCTCGTAATTAGATATAAGGCTCCTGTAGAGCAAAATTGAGTATTTTGGTCTAAATAACCCAAAATATGATGTCCACATATGTGGATGCCAGATCCTAGGAGGTTAATGATGACAGGAAAATAAACAAAAGATGAAAGATAAAAGTAACCCCCTAATTGCAGAATGGACCAGAGTTAGTGGTCTGTACAAGTCATATGCGTTTTACATGCATATATACATGGAGATGTGTATAATTATATGATGAAATAATCTTCCAAGCAACATTTTAACACTGCAGCTAAGGCATAACGTGCTTAATAGCTATATGTTAAATCTGCTTGCCAACTAGTTACTACAGGTTTCCAAATGATAACCAGAGTGACTGTTATTTACTTTATTTTACCACCACTTTAAGACGAGAATGAACACCATTACACTTCAATTGTGAATCTGGGTTGTATTATTATTCCAAAGCATAAAGATTTAGAAAAAAAAATAAACTTCAAAATTATAGGTTATAAGGTAAATAACAGGTCAATACTAATGAGTCAGTAACCACTAAGTGTTGCTTAGTAGAGAGGAACAATTAAATGTAGTCTCTATCAAGAGCTACACAATGAATAAAAATGCATCAGCAAAAATCATGGGACAGATTAGGTATAAAATAGATTGATAAGAAGAGCACAAAATGTGGCAGGAGAAACCTCTGTGTGTGTGTGTGCGCGTGCGCGTGTGTGTGTGTGTGTGTGTGTGTGTACACATATTTAGACATCTTTGGGAGGACTGAAAATTGGCAGGCCACTGTACTTGTGGAGCCCAAAGGCACTTTTGAGGCTTAAAATGTGGGTTTCATGTGTGTACATATATATTCCTTTAACAAAAGAGGACGTACTGATTTTGCTGATGGGTTAAAGACCTGATGATACCAAGTATGAGGCACTACAGCAAGTTGGCAACAAGAAATAATCACTGTTTATTTGCTATAAATGGGACACAGTGTAAACATTTGACCCTGTCAAAACTCTGTAATTCAAACTAACTGAACATCACAATTTCACAATAAAATGTATGATGAAAACAGTAACGTACATACATATTACAAACATAGTACAAGCATTTTTCTTTCATTCATTTTCTTGTCAGACATTTTAAAACCCTGTTTAGTAAGTTTTTTAAAGCTTCAGATATTTTATTCTGAACAAACAGTTCATTAACACAACACTGTACCCTTTTGAATACATTCTAAAACTGAACTTGTGTATTAACAAGGGAAAAAAATTACAATTAGTCAGCCCTTCTTCCATGCTCCTGCTACGTAGCCTTAGCTAGTAGAACAGTGTACCACTGAAGATAAAACAGAAATAAT